GTTTCGTCGCGTCAGTGAGGTTTCGGAGGCCCTATACCAATCCCACCCTTTCCCAATCCCTGAGTCCCCTACAATCTTCGAATTCCTAATTCCAAAAGGGCAGTAACGCACTTGTAACGCCTCTGGTGTTTCCGGTATCTATGGGCGACGACGATAGCTTACCATCAGGTGATCCGTCTCCTCGTTTACCGGCTTATAACACAACTAAAATAGAAATAAAACCCCCAATTACTAAAATAACGTAACATATCGCCTTTTATAGGCAACCGAAGGCTCCGCCTACCGAAAGAGTAGGCAAGGTGCACATTACAGCACTTAATGCCACTGTACAATGTAACAGCCACTTTTCACTATTTATGTTATGAATCCCATGTAATAGTAAGCGTGTTGCCATATACCGAGCACAATTCTAAACTCTGTGCTACTACTGAGTTTTTTTTTAAAACTTCAGTAATACTTTGCCCGACGACTTATGATTACTCGATGACTCTACAAAACGTAAGTATAAAGTTGTAAAAACCAGTCATAATGGAGGTATTTTTTGAATCAACATCAACACGGTGTCTGGCTCAATTATGTAATTATACTTTAAGGTCATTGTATATATACACATGTAATTGATGTTTTTAATGTTTTTTTTTGGGTCTGACCACATACAGTGAGGAATGTGTTTGTTTTTTGTTTTTTTTTGTTTTGTTTTTTTTAAAAAACGTTGCCCCACATTAGGATTTTCTCCTATGTCGTGGGTGCGTTTTACAAACATACAAGTTCACATACACAATGACACCCAGACCTGAAACAACAATTTGTGGATCACACAAAGTGTTGTTCCGTGCGGGAATCGAACCCGCGACACGTTGCACGGCAGCCGGTTGCCCAGCCACCGCACCAACCGTGAATTCGAATAGTCATATGCTATCATATGGAATAGTCATGTGCTATTTAAATATTAACCGAGTAGGTACCAATCTGGCTGTTCTCCAAAGGCATATTGGCTAATTACCTAATTAATCTCTGAAATTACTTGGAAGGGTTTTATCTACAGACATGTCAAAGGATGGAGTATGAAAAAAATTGTACCTTATGCAGAAAGAAAAGAAACCACGTTTAGAAAACCAATTTCAACGCCCTCCTTTTTTGAAATAGATTCGAATCGTTAATAACATAGAATAACCTTCTCCTAAGTGCAACAAACGCATTTCTAAAAACCACATGAAAACGATTAAGCCAATTGCGAAATAATTGCTCACAAACATACATACATACATTTATACAGGTCAAACTAAACCTCCTTTCTTTGAAGTCGGTTAAAAAATATACTATACAAGTCTAAATAATACAAAATCGATACTTTTAATCAATTATAGAAATGTAATCAAGTAAGTAAACACGATTTACTCACATTTTACTAATTCATTAGCGTTATGTTGATAAGATAAGTCATAAGGCACGGTACCAAGTGGTCGATATTGCAGCTACACGTCAGTTTAAAACAGTAGCCATGATTGTAAAGCTGTGTGTGTTACTCCTATATTTAGCTACAGTTTTAGCCAGTAACGAATGGCTAGAAGTAACGACGGCGCAAGGACCGGTGCGCGGACGCAAACATGCTGCCGGAGGAACTTATGTGTTCTACAATGTACCCTACGCCACAGCTCCCAGAGGACAAGATAAATTCAAGGTATTAAACATGATGTTGTAGTACATATAACTTGACATAATAACCTTTTCAAATATTGGTTTTGCTTCTGAAGTCTATTTAAATATATTCGACGTCAGTACTCAGTAATCAGTGTGGAGGAATTAAGCATTCGTATAACCTAAAAATGTGCATTATAATTGAAATTATAAGTCATAAACTTAACAATATCTGTTGATTGAGTTTAATAATTATTGTTTAAATTACATTTCAGGCACCTCTTCCTCCAGCTGTACGGTCGGACCCATACGATGCTGTCAACGAAAATATTATATGCCCACAATTTCACTTGGAAGGTGAAATAATGCCCAAATATTTAGTGCGGCACGAGGACTGCCTTGTTGCCACTATTTATGTCCCTATTACAGAAAAAAAAGATCTCTCGGTCTTGGTATACGTTCATGGGGGTGGTTTTGTAATAGGCTATGGAGACATGATGAGAGCACTGAATTTAATGGACAAAAATGATATGATTGTCATCACGTTCAATTATCGCCTAGGCATCCATGGATTCCTTTGCTTGGGCACTGAAGATGTACCAGGTAATGCCGGTATGAAAGATCAAGTAGCCCTGCTGCGTTGGGTACAAGAGAATATTGCTAACTTCGGTGGTAACCCTAATGACGTCACATTGGCCGGTGGTAGTGCAGGTTCTGCATCTGTTGATCTAATAATGCTCTCTAAATCAGCAGAAGGTTTATTCCATAGAGTGATACCAGAAAGTGGTGGAAATCTCGCTGCATTTGCAGTTCAGAGGGATCCAGTTGAAATAGCAAGATCTCATGCCAAGAAATTTAATTTTACCAAAGCAGACGATATTAATGCTTTAGAATATTTTTACAAGACGGCGCCAATGGATTTGCTAACAGCGGATCCATTTTTCGACAGAACTGATGCTACTTTTGTTTTCTCACCCTGTGTGGAACGTGATGCAAAAGACGCATTTTTGACTGAATCTCCTGTAAGCATACTGAAGAAAGGAAACTATAAGAAAGTACCATTGTTGTATGGTTTCGCTAATATGGAAGGTCTAATGCGTATTGACTTCTTCGACTACTGGAAAAATAAGATGAATGAGAACTTTGCTGACTTCTTGCCAGCTGATTTACAATTTGAATCAGAAGAAGAAAGAGACGAAGTGATCAATAAAATAAAGAAGTTTTACTTTGATGATAAACCAGTGGGTGAAGACAACATTTTGGGCTACATTGATTTCTTTTCGGATGTTCTATTTACATACCCTATGTTGCGCGCAGTAAAGTTACATGCGGAAGCTGGCCACGATCAAGTATATTTGTACGAATTTTCTTATGTTGACGAGAACACTCCTGTAGTGCCACACACGGAAGTTAAAGGTGCCAACCACTGCGCCCAAACAACAGCCGTAATGGATGGTAACTTTATAGACAAAAGTGAACTGAAAATGACTGATAGATATAAGAAAGTGAAGAAAATGATACGAGAACTTTGGCATAACTTTATTAAAACTGGGTAAGCATTTTGGACCTCAATACTTGTTTTAGCTTTTTATAACGTGGTGGAAGTCCTCATGGACTTCCCACGCCGTGGGGACGACGACGGGTGTTCCGGACTCTTACCGGCTAAAACGCGATGGTATTATCCTAGTGTTCCTCCTCTGTGGCCGTGACCCGGGACGCAGATTCACTGTAATACTTGTTTTAGCTGTAAATTTACTTGCTTAACAACTCGCTGCTTGTTCACATGATTTTTGGATCTTCAACTAAAATTGACGACGTGATCAATCATTTAAAAATTTATATGATAAGGAATCGTCCCGTGGCCAACTTTACCATTTATTAGTTGTCATCACATTAAAGTAGACAAATTACTTACAGTTTCACTATTGACCAAACTTTATACTTTATAGGTACCTAATCCTAAAACTGAAAACATTAGTCTTTTATAAACATTATTTGGTATCAATTTCAGGAAACCAGTGCCTGAGGGATCATCCCTGCCTGAGTGGCCAGCAGCCGGCGTAGACAGGTCCCCTCACATGTCTATAAATGATGACTTAGAACTCCGTGGTGTACTGCTAGAGGAGCGCACTCGCTTTTGGGACGAAATTTACGAGAAACACTATAAAGATGCCATATCACCACCCCCACCCCCTCCAAAATCACGGGTCGAATTATAAAATTGTAAATAGCTTATTCAATACATATCATTTTTCTAAAGAAGTGAAGTTTCAAAACAATGTTTGGTATTTTTATTGTCTTGTTCATAGCACGCTGCATTGGATCATGAGTTATTGTTAATTGTAATTATTTAGTTGCGTCTACATTGTGGTCCGTAATAATATTTAATTGTTTTCCTTGTCCAGCATTACATACTAGTTAAAAACATCTCAATGACAATTTGTAACGCCACCTTTTGAGAAAATATCTCTTAGCACACTACTAACATGATTGTGGTCTGCATTGGGCCTATCAAAGATAATAGTAGGTGCTTCAGGACTTGATTTATATTTTTATATTGAAAGAAAAATAACTTAGAAATGTTTTCTATCATTTCAAAGTAATAACTGTTAACCAATAAAAAGCAAGCATTCACAATGTCTTATTCAAGGATTAACATATATACGTTACAGTTGTTACCAAATCACTGAAGGTGACAACAATTGCATTGCTATTATTGTTTTTTATAGTCACAAAACTAACAGACCAGAACGAATACAACGCCATCTACTGTAGAATGTAAATAAACTCATCAAAATCGGTTTCAAAATTGACACAAACACAAGCAAAAAAGCTGCTCTAATGATTTATAACTAGATCACTTCATTGTCATGTGAACGACAATAATTTTAGCTAAATTACTATTAATTTTGGCCAAAATAACATTATTTCGTATTTACGTATTTCCGTACATCTACACTAATAATAGTAGAAGTTTGTATGTATGTTCGTTACTGAATAATATCTGAATGGCAAGTAGATTTTTTTTAAGTGATTAAAATCATCGAATGACTGCTCCCGCCTGGGTGAGGCGAGAGGGACTGTCAGACTCTTACTGACTAAATCCCACCCCGTTCCTTCTCCTGCACTTCGAGCCGAAGCTCCGGTAACCCGTTAGGTTCTCCGTGACACCGAATCGGCATCAGCCCTATTTGGCCCCATCCGTGGTGGTCTGATGGCTCTTTGAGGCGCGCGCGGAACGCGCTCGTTTCTAGTTCTGGACGGGCGGCGAGCCACCCATGCTCGCCGTCCGCAAGCCCGCGCTTACGGTGGCCGGAGATCGTCCCGCGATCCCCGACGCCCGAAGTGTCTTTCGCGAATGGCAAGTAGATAGAAATAACGCATTACAGACATCTTTTTATTCTGGAATTTTGGGCAAAGCCGTTGGCGGAAGCTAGTACAAGGATATATTTATATGCAGCAAGTGAGAAGAGTTTACGGGTAAAATAAATGGGTATTCGGTGTATGCAAGTACACACACATATTTATATAATATATCTGACTGTAATGACTGATTACTATTTACCATAAGGTAATTAGTCATATGTATATTTAAGTGGATAGGTACTGTTTCCAAAAATAACATTCTTCCACCAAAATTATTGGATTTCAAATTATATTGAACACCGGACATAGTTTTGAATGCTAGTTACCTATAATTTATACGTTGAATTGACTATGGTATAATCATGGGTAACCATGTTAAGTCGTCTATATCGAATTTTAAATCAGTTCAAATCCGTCGTTATGAAGTCGAACGTGTGTGTTTTGGTATTCTATTTAGCGGTGGTAATAACCGCTGAAGAATGGCGGGAAGTGAAAATTGCGCAAGGAATACTGCGCGGGCGCAAACATCCCGAAAAGGATTTGTTTGTTTTCTACAATGTACCCTACGCGACCGCTCCTGTTGGAGCAAACAAGTTTAAGGTCATTTTTCTACCATTAAATATGATATACTATGTCATCCAGTAATAATTTCTATTATTAAATCTATATAAACTTTATACTGTCAAATAATCTTAAAGTTTTCCATGATACATTAAGCGTGGGAAAGCCATGCTTTGGCACGAATGGGACGCGTCGTGTGAGTAAGGTTACCAGAGGCCCAATTTCCCCCCTCGATATCCCCAATCCCCGAATCCCTAACAATCCTTAAATTCTTAAACCATTGTCACTTTTGGAGTTTTGGGTGTCCATGGGCAGCATCGATTAATTACCATCAGGTGATCCATCGGCTCGATTACCAGCTTATTCCTTAAAATAATTATGAGATTTCATCAAAAATCCTAGTAATTGTGCTAAGTATATTATTAAGTAAAAAATAAATAAATAGGTATGTCATGGCTATTTAGATACTCGTCAAGATAAATTGGGATGCGTATTTTTTATCCCAGCAAAAAACGCGACGGTTGAATCTATAATATCATTAACTTACCGATTCTGGATATTAGGTATTAAATAATGGGCTATTTAACTATTTAAATTATACCTACATATGTAATAACATTTAAAATAGTAATAAAAAAAGTTGATATAAATATAGAAAGAAGTAAAATCCAAAAAAAATGAGCCAACTTAAAACTTACTATTATTGGTGCTGTATACAATTTGATACGTTGTTCTTTTCAAAAATCTAGACACAAACTGAGAAATATTTTGAAAAATTTTATTAGTTTAGTAGAAACAAAATATAATTAAATTTCTACCAAAAATGTTGTTTTACTATTAGTATCACTGAGAAAGCATTAGAACCCAAGATAGTGAACCGAACCAATGTGTCTACTCATCGCAAGGTAAGAAAATTCATTTTAAATCATATTAAACGATAATTAGAAACGAAAGTGATATTATTTGAATAGCTTAGAATTTTTTACTAGTCGGTATTCTGTTTTGGTTCTTCAAAACTGATTGTAACTGTATTTTTTTCACTAGTGTTTTTGAGTGTATCAGATCTGATTCATTGCCAGATAACAAATATTATAGATATTTTTGACTATGTATCTAAAATGTTACATTGCCAGAAGAGTTTACAGATACATTAATTAAGTTACTATGTATATTTAATCATTACAGATGGTTGGTCACCTAATTATGCAGCAACAAAATAGAGTTCAACAATTTGTGGCTCTTGTACCGAAGCCGGGAGCAAAATCTGATTTGAACGAAAGTGTTTTGGTTGAAAGGGAGATGAAGTCGAGTATTACGAAGGCCCAGCGCATTCCGACAGTAGTTCAGCACCGCTCTCATTATCATCTTCGATGGAAAACATCCATCTATTATCAGACGACGATACTGAGGTTAATCATGTTGCTGCTTCAACATCTTTGGTGTTATACCAAAAACCATCGCCGATAACCAACCCTTGTTCGCCACTAATTTTATCGCCAAATATATCTGAAATGAGACACCTGCATTCGTGGAGATGGAGACCAAACCATTGTTTCCAGTTCCGACCACATCGAATCAAGTAAGGTTACCATCTCCACTGGCATCGTCGTCCCCACAAGTTTCTGCACCGCTCGTCAATTACTTGATACGCCGTAACCATGCAGCTGTTATCTCCATTATAAGCAGCTACCCGCTCAAGTAGACCCAGAGTTGTCACGGCACGGCGAAGAGTAATACCAACGAAAGGGTTAGCACCACATTGGCGTTACTGTACATTTACTGGTTCCGCAAAAGTAGAAGATATTTCATTTGAGCCTAATGAAGAAAAGAGTGCCATGGAATACTTCAAGCTGTTCTTCTCAGACGACATCGTCTCTCATATAGTGAAACAAAACAAAATATCTATAGCACACAGATAAATGGTACATCTACAAATACTACAGAAGTTGGTGTCAAAGACTTTTTGGCAATCCTTTTGAATTGACGACTCCCATAGTCGTTAAAATGTGTAACGATATAATATAGTAGCTGATATTATGACATTAAAGAAATTCTAACTACTCAGACGTTACTTCATTTCATTGAATGATAACCTCAAAGACGATGGTGACGATATTATAAAGTGAGGCCAGTTCTTCAACTGGTACTCCTAAGAATTCCTCTTAAGACTGATATGTATAAGTATGTATTAAGTAGTTGTATACAAAATTGATCTCATTTTATTCATAAATTATACACATTAATTAGGTAAGACTTAAAGGCTGATTGTGACTGATAATTATGTTGATTTTTAGAAGTTTTTTTTTTGTATTTGTTGATTAAGAAAACACAATTTATATTATTTTTAGTTTTCCTGTTCTAAGCAATGTGTCAAATATGATACATAGTTTTTTTTCAATTGATTATTATGAACCTGGCAATGTGCCTAATGTGATACATATAATAAAACGTAAATTAAATAATTACAATTTTTTTTATTATTTTTCGCCTTTCCAGTGGACACCTAGGAACACAAACCAGGCATTATTTTTCAAAAATACTGAAAATAAAATGCCTGCCAAGTATAGGGTTAAATAAATTATTTATTTTTATTTTTCAGGCACCGCTTCCGCCTCCACATTGGTCAGAACCATATGATGCTGTTGATGAAAATATTGTATGTCCTCAACCCGAATTTCTCAATACCTACATCAACCAAACCTTTAAAACTAAAGAAGATTGTCTTATCGCCAATATCTATGTTCCCGAGACAGACAAAAATAATCTCTCAGTTGTCGTGTACGTACATGGGGGTGGCTTCATTGTAGGGTTTGGTAATATGATGAAACCACTACATTTACTAGACAAGAAAAATATAATCCTCGTCACATTCAACTATCGACTCGGTATTCACGGATTCCTATGTCTCGGTACCGAGGACGCACCAGGCAATGCTGGCATGAAGGACCAGGTAGCACTGCTAAAATGGGTACATCAAAACATTGCTAGTTTTGGCGGTAACCCTGATGACGTCACCCTCGTAGGTAATAGTGCAGGTTCTGCATCAGTGGATCTGCTAATGCTTTCTAAGTCAGCAGAAGGATTATTTCACCGAGCTGTACCCGAGAGTGGTGGTAATCTTGCCGCTTTTGCAATTGCAAGCGATCCTGTGGAAAACGCTAAATTGTTTCTGAGGCAACTTAACTACACTGATGTAGATGACATTTGTGATATGGGGGAGTTTTACAAGACGGCTTCACTACAATTATTAATTTCAGATGCATTTTTCGAAAGGACTGATTCCACCTTCCTATTCTCACCATGCGTAGAACGCGATACCGAAGGTGCATTCCTGACAGAATCTCCTCTGAATATACTAAAAAGAGGAAACTTCAAAAAGTTACCTCTGTTATATGGATTCGCTAACATGGAAGGACTGTTTCGTATTGATTTCTTTGATAGTTGGAAAAACAAGATGAACGAAAAGTTTTCTGATTTCTTGACACCTGATTTGAAGTTTCAATCCGAAAGTGAAAGAGAACAAGTTGCTAATAAGATTAAAAAGTTTTATTTCGGTGAGAAGCCGGTGGGCAATGAAAGCGCGATAGCCTTTGTCAATTACTTCTCTGATGTTTTGTTTACTCACCCTATGCTTTGGGCAGCGAAATATTACGTCGAAGGTGGAAACAGTCAGGTTTATTTGTATGAATACTCATTTGTTGACGAAGACTCTACCCTAGTGCCTTACACTGACATACGAGGAGCAAGCCACTGCGCACAAACAATGGCAGTAGTAGATATTGGCGACGAAAGGAAATTATCACAGAAATATCAGGATATGAAGAAAACTATGCGGGAAATATGGTACAATTTTATTAAAACTGGGTAAATATTTTTCATTGCATATAACTTTTGAATACACATGTCGTATGTGTGTTTTTACTTGGTTAAATTCCCTTGGTTTATCGTTTCAGGAAACCGGTACCCGAAGGTTCATCGTTGCCTGCGTGGCCGGCAGCAGGTCCTGACAGATCACCATATATGAAGCTAAATGAAAAATTGGAACTAGGTGGGATCCTCTTAGAAGAACGCACTCACTTCTGGGACGATGTTTATGGAAAGTATTACCGAGAACCCGCAGCACCTCCAGCGTCGCCGAAGTGCCAAGAAAAATCGTAAAAATAAAATAATTGACCTTTACCTATACCTATAGTTAGGTGTATCTATAATTGTATTATAATTAATAAATACAACACCTACTTTTCACCAGATAGAACCTGACAATGTCTTGTATTTCGGGTGTCCACGGGCTGCACGATCTCTTACACACTTAAATAATCCATCTGTTCGTTTGCTCACTGACCCAAAAAAACGAGTCCTCAGATACCTAACAACTTACATGAGAAAACTGACAAACAAAATGTATTAAATGCACAACAAATATTATAAAAAAATCACATTGTAAATATCTTTTTTTTTCAATTGTAACGATGGAGTATCTTGCGCGTTCTTCTCCATTCGAAACTACACTTTGGAACGGGCACCTAGCTGCCTTAGCAATTCTATTTGATGTTTCTAAAGTGCCTAATCAAAGATTAATTGAAATAAATACTTTGACTTTGACTTTGAATCATGTTATACGGGACGACAGGAGACGCCTTGGAAAGCAACAGGCAGCAGCGGCCGTACAAATTTCTTCAGCAGTTTTAATTTCCGATGACAATAAATTTGAAGGAAAAGCATTAGTAGGTTAACTTATACACACAAACATTACACACATGAACCCTTAAATCGATTGCACTTCTAACACATTAACATGAATTTTTATTTATTAAATGTGATTGGCTGCTTGTCTATTTTTTAATCCCTATAAGTTAAGGGTACTGACTCACTGATGTGATACATATTAACGAACATAATAAATAATATTAGCAAACATTCTATAAAAATATATTTATTTTAAAGAATATGGTTCCGTTAACAATCAACATAAAAAATTGGCTTCAGTATTTATTTTAATCACACTAATATTCTAATGTGAATGTTTCTTTGTTTGGATGTTGGTATGTCAATCACGCTGAAACTACTAAACGGATTTTGATGAATGTTGGTATATAGGCAAGGTATAGGCTGACTTAGGATACTTTTTATCCCGATAAAATGATCCCATGCGATAAAACTGGAAATTTTATTCTACGTGGACGAAGTCGCGGGCAACATCTACTTTAAACATAAATTATCTAAGAAAACTGTAACTCATGCCATTTTGTAAATATGTTGAACAGCAGTATGTAAGCGCCCTTACCAGTTACCGTTGATAAACAAAGTAATAAAGTTAATACATTCGAGATTTAAAATTTGGTTTCTTTGTTTTACTTTTTTCCGCCAGTTTATCTACTCTTATTCGTTTTCAACAAAAAGTTTTTGTTGTGAAATGTGTATACTCGTTATTACAAATAAATATAAACTGCGTAAACGGAAGAGTGGAATACATTATTACTATATTTCTCTGCTCTTCCCGTCGATGTTGATGACGAGGGCTATTGATAATGACAACAAAAGAAAATATATTTTTGGTTTTACACATTTATTCTTTCATCAATAATTATTTATTTACGAAGCATTTCGTAATTCGTTGTTGTCTACTATTCTACTATAACTTTATAATTACCAGTCTTCTCAATTTAAAGTTTACAAATACATTAGTATACGACTGTTGAACGTCGGAGATTCGATTGCGAATCGATTCGAAGCCTGGTCGATTTAATGTATATGCCCTAAGACAAGCAAAAATTCTTCAGAATATTCACTCTATTCTATTGAAATAGATTAATGAATTTTTGAATCGACAAATTCAATATTTCTTTACCCTTACCTTGAGGATTACACCCGAGATCTTGTAGTAGCCAGTCCTGCAAGTGGTAGCGATTGGAACCACTCGTCACAAAATAAAGGAATTAATAAGAAAAAAATTCCAAAGAATTGTTGTATGAGTAAGGTTTAGGAATGACATTGTTTGGCGCTGGTGGTGGTGAGGCATCCCTATAGTACTTCTGGTAGATGCCGTCCCAAAACTTGGTACTTGCTTCCACGTACATGTTGTGCAGCTGGACGTTAAGGTCTAGGGACAAGTAGGGCGCCCTCCCTGCACCAGCAGCGGGCCATTCAGGCAAAACTGAATCTTCAGGCACGGGCTTACTGAAAGTTATAGAAACAAATAAAAATTATGTATGTATTAAAAAGTTAAAGTTAAAATGACAATAAAAGGCATTTAAGGTTTATGATAAAATTATGAAGTAAAAATGACCAATGGGTCATGCCCAATGGGGCAACTGACGAAAACTGAATGTTACGTTTAACATGTTATATTAGCTGATGTACCCCTAAGCCTTGAACTTTCTGTTTATGCCTTCGAGTTGTAACAAATGTCATATATTTATTTGATTTTCTCTGCCATAGCTTGGAACCGCAGCAAACTTTGCTAATTATAAAAACATGAAATTGAATAGGAGTAAATTATGACATCAGTGCTTACCCAGATACAATAAAACTGTGCCAAATTTCACGAACAATAGCCCTCATATTCCGATACTCAGGAGTCGACAAGCTCTCACTTTTGCCATTCATATTATCTAACCACGCCATCGACTGAGCACCATGTTCGGCACTTCGTTTTATACTATGGCTGTCTGTAGTACTTCCATTGTCCGAAAATGTGTACTCATACAAATATACTTCATGATGTCCAGCCTCCGCATGCAACTTAACAGCGCGAAGCATAGGATAAGTAAATAGAACATCGGAGAAAAAGTCGATATATCCAAAAATTGTCTCTCTATGTACCGGTTCCTTGCCAAAGTAGAACTTCTTCACAGTTTGAGCCACTTGTTCCTTTTCTGTATCAGATTTAAACCCTAAGTCAGCTGGCAGAAAATCAGAAAACTTTTTATTCATCTTATCCTTCCAAATATCAAACATGTCTATTCGCAATAGACCTTCCATACTAGAGAAACCATACAATATGGGTACCTTCACGTAGTTGCCCTTCTTAAGTATTCGTAGAGGAGAATCTATCAAGAATGCTTCAGTCCCTGTGATACGCTCCACACAAGGTGAGAAAACAAAAGTAGAATCAGTCTCATCGAACAACGTAAGTGATGTCAATAAATCCAACGAAGCTGTTCTATAGAACAGATCTAGGGCATAAGTGTCTTCGGTTTTCCTGAAATTTAGTCTTTTAGCGTGATTCTTAGCAGTTTCTAAAGGATTCCTTTGTACCGCGAATGCGGCAAGGCTTCCACCACTTTCAGGTATAACTCGGTGGAACAGTCCTCTGGCTAATTTAGAGAGCATTATAAGGTCGACTGCAGCAGACCCTGCGCTACTACCGGCCAGTGTGACATCATTAGGATTTCCTCCGTAACTGGCGATATTTTCTTGCACCCAGCGCAGCAGAGCTACCTGATCTTTGATGCCAGCATTTCCTGGAGCGCCTTCAGTGCCTAGACAAAGAAATCCATGTACACTGAGGCGGTAGTTGAACGTGACCATAATTATATCTTTTGACTTCATTAGCTGTGTCCCTTTATTCATGTTTCCATAACCAATCAAAAACGCGCCTCCGTGAACATATACGAGGACTGAAAGGTTTTTTTCGAGAGTGTCTGGCACAAAAACATTGGCAACTAAACAATTTTCCTGCATCTTCAACTTTTCTAACAGCATTTCAATAACTATTTTGTTTTGTGGACAGACAATGTTCCTGTCAAGGGCTTCAAACGGTTTCTTCCAGGTTGGTGGTGGAAGAGGTGCCTGTGAAAAGAAAACATACCTGAAGAACTCTTCTTTACTGCTTTTTCTATTATATTACATTTCTTTTTCTCCACTGACTCTTGTCCGTGCCCTTCTCATTCAATTACATTTTCTTATATTTTACAGTCAAACTTTAACAAAAATCTTACGTGCTACATTAACCATATTTTTTTTGTCACAAAGAAGGTTGTATCTGTAGATAGAAATCTACATATACACAGTACATGTTTTATGACATTAACATTAACCCTACTGGATCGGCCCACCCGCGCGATGAGCGAGCCGACCTGCTCCAGCAGGCTTCTTTACAGCTTCTTTACTGCTTACACCAGTACACTTCCTAAATAAGAGAGATATATGTCCATATATACAAGTTATTGTTAAAGGTACCTTGAATTTGTCAACACCAACAGGTGCTGTAGCATAGGGTATATTGTAAAACGCGTACACATCTTCGTCGATCTGTTTGAGTCCGCGCACTGGTCCTTGAGGCGTATTCACTTGCAGCCATTCTTCATTAGCTGATATGGCTAGCACACTCACTAGAAATACACACGTCTGTCTCTGCATTATCCCGGTAATAGACTGACCTCATAGTGAAATTGTTTACACGATTACCGAACCAATCAATGAAGTACTTATTTTCTTTTGTTGACACAATTAACGTGATCGTTGAATATGCGATTGCTATCTAGAAACACTAACACCATTGTGTGTCTACCAGTCTAGAAATGTTTCTGTTTACGATTCGCTATTTTACTATTGTGTTCATAGTTACGTTATCTACAGAGTAATAATACAATCCACATATTTTCCTACTAAATTCTTGTTTTTATTGTAATTGTTTACAAATTATATAATTGTAAGAAAACTTTGTTTAGCTAGAACTGGAAATATATTCATCGTTTCCGCCTGATAAGTAACGATTATATTGCAATGTTGACGACCTGCGTGTCATTGCTATCATATTTTGATTAGGCGCCTACTACAAATACGGGTAAAAAGATAACAAGAAAAATAAAAACACAGACATATCACTTTAATTAATTAAAATAGAAGACACTCACAATGGAATCAGTCACAAGTAATTTAAATGTAGTACCAAGGTAGGTCCACAACATAATAGGTATTCATAAATGTTAACAATAACATGTTACTTAGCTAAACCCATGGATGATAGGACCAAAGAAATATATCACATACTTTATTGTTCCAACAACAGTACCTCCACATTGTTCGTCCGAAACATAAATTAATTACAAAGGAGACAAACAACTTTGGCAGCATCGCGCCAACGAACCAATATGAGATTGGAAGTAAAGTCGAAACAATAGGCTAACAGCCGAGATAAGTCTTTAACTTAATTAACTCCCGAAGGCTTCGGCATAATTAACTTCGAAGCTTTTGGAAGTGGGCTATACGTATATAGGAATAATGGTGTGCGTGTATCAGAGGGGGGGAGGGGGCTGATTTATAACTGGTGTAAATGAAAGTGTGACGCGGATGCGGACGTCCCCGGGTCCCAAACACGACCGTTTTTGTGATGTTATCTTAGGATTCACAACAATTCGCTGAGACGCGGCCGCCTGCTACGTGACCAGAGTGGCGTTATTCTTCTATTTAACTGAGTAGTTTTGCCCTCCGATACTTTTATTGTGCCATAAATTCCCTCTTATTGCTTCAAATGACTCAAAAGTTGGAACTATCGCTTTACAGTAGCTTTGAAGCGTCTTGTGTTGTTGTTATTTATCGGTTTCGTGATCTTACTGTATATTACAGATCCTAACTGGAATGTGGATAATCTAATATTAATCCTACTTTATCCTACTTACATATTATATTATGTTAAAGAGTGATGCAGGCAGCGTTCAAGCTCATAATATAATGGCCCAAAATCAACGTCTTTTTGTCACCATCAGTCTGTATTACATTCACTACTGGAAATAGGCCTCTCTTCTTTTATACAGCTCAAAACCTTACCACAAACTACCACAGGAAGACTAGATTAGGCCTCCCTACCCTTCTTCCACTCTGTAAAGCTTTTTGCGGCCAATCCTTGTCATAATTGTCCAATTCGTCCCATCAACTCGTTTTGGACCTGCCGCGACGTCTATTGACGTTGAGGGAGTCCGTTCAGCCTGCCATGAGGTTGGACTTACGTCCATGAATATATCTATTTGGGCCAACTGGTTTCCTTCGAGGCGAGACAAGACAGAGTAATATCCTTATCCTTATATATCCTTACTATTATAAATGGGAAAGTGAGTTTGTTTGTTTGTTTGTTTGTTCCGACTTCACGCCGTAACTACTAAACCGATTGCATTGAATTTTTGTAGACGTAAAGTTAGTAGTCTGGATTAAATAATAGGGTACTTTTTATCCCGAAAAAATTTGATATTCCCGAGGGAAAACAAAAGTATTGGTATAGATGGCGCTGTATGTATTGGTATATCCTTACTATTATAAATCCTTACTATTATAAATGGGAAAGTGAGTTTGTTTGTTTATTTGTTTGTTCCGACTTCACGCCGTAACTACTAAACCGATTGCATTGAATTTTTGCAGACGTAAAGTTAGTAGTCTGGATTAAATAATAGGGTACTTTGTATCCCGAAAAAATTTGATATTCCCGAGGGAAAACAAAAGTATTGGTATAGATGGCGCTGTATGTATTGGTATATGTCACATAGACTACTTTTTATCCTTTTGTGACGCGAGCGAAGCCGCGGGTAAAAGCTAGTAGAGAATAAACAAAATAAATTATGACACCTAGATAATAATATTTCCCCTCACTACACTCCGGACCTTTACGAAAATTACCTTACCACTCATCCCTCGGCTAAATATTAATAAATAATCTTTGTATCGGACCGGATAAAAACGGATACGTACGCTAAGTTTTATTAACATTAATGGTATTAGATTGTACGCATGATAAATGATCGATACTTCCCGTCACGATCATATTATAGGCTTGATTTTACCCGCAGTTCACAAAGTAGATAAATCGTATCTATACCTACAGGGGAATTATTCCCTAATGGGTGCGGTTCATTGGCCAGAATACCGTTTTATAATTAAAATTTTCCCAAATTAAAACATGTAGGTACGTTAACATCCCCGAAGTAGACCGAGGTGCAGATATGACAACGGATACTTTTTACCTGTTATGTTACTAGTCCCATGGGGGCAGCGATGTTGACCGTCTATCGCGGTTGAGCCTACTAATTACTACCAGACGTAATTTGGAACTCTGTACTGAACATTCAAAAAACATGATCACTATGATGAACGAGGCATGAGACAAACATTTTTTCTTATGCATACTCTCCATACTGATACTGAGACTGCCTCGATGGCAGAGTGGTCCCAAGTGCGACTGCCGGGCAAAAAAAAATCTCAGTAGTAGCACGGAGTCTGGAAATGTGCCCGGTATATGGCAATAGGCTCACCCCTCATAACATAAATAGTGAAAAGTGGGTGTTACTTCTGTGTGCACCTTTGCCTACCCCTTCGGGGATAAAAGGCGTGATGTTATGTTATGTTACTCTCCATAGATATAATAAGGTGTTTCATATGTCTGTGGTAGTTCCTACATTCCCTCATATTGGCGCATACAACTATCTACTTCATTATAAATAAACCTGTGTACTTTACATAGAAAAATTAAAGAATAAATAAATAAAGCACTGCATTCAATATATATACAATTTATATGACTTAACAATAAACGTTTCCTATGATGTTATCTAATACTCCTCCAATATAGGAACGTTTGCGAACCGACCTACGACAATGATGAGTGACAGGACATCTGACCCAATCAATCTTTATTGGAAGATTTGATTGATAATATCAACATTTCCGCTGTCATTTTTACTTTAAAAATCTAATGGCTACTAATAGCTAACATTTTGACCTAATCTGGTTCGGGTCATTTAATGAAATAAAAGAATTTATTTTAAATTATCATATTGTGTCTGAATTGTGTCCAGTAGTACAAACTCTCCGACTATTACATGGGATTCATAACATAAGTGGTGAAAAATAGGTTACATTTATAATATCTAACTAGCGTGCATTCCTCCATGAATGAGTAGCATTCGAGGAATAAAAGCCGTGACGGTATATAATGTTCATTGGTCTATCTACTGGCAAAAATCACAAATCGAAATTCTCAATTCAAAGAATCGTCAATCAAATCCCCAATAAAAGTTATAACATAATCGATTAATCTTTCGAAAAATACGACAAGTTCGCCGCGCCGGTCGCGAAGTCGGGCCGGTCGGTGTCCGACCCTCAAATGTCACGTCAAGTCGTCAACCCACTTGAACTCTGACGGCGACTGACAAAAGTAACTCTTCCCCCTAAATTGACATCTACAATTTTCATAAAACATGCTTCATCGTGCTCCCTAAGGGACCTTCACTTTTTATGTTCGCGACTTAAAAATGAAAATACACTTTGGGGTAAATTCAACTTCAGCGAGTTCTTATTTATTTGACACCCGATATTCAGGAGTATCTGTAAAACCATAAAATGCTCGTTCCTTATCTAAGGTATAGATACATACATAGGTATTGTAGCTTTGAGAGTACCCGGGGTCTCTGAGTTATATTACCACCGTGAATTTACAACCAAATTGCAACTTTTATTATCCTGTTGTTTGTTTAAAATGTTTAATCAATAAATAATAAGGTGGGAGTCGTAATTCGTTGTATTTTATGTGCCAATGTTGCTGTTTGTAAACAGGAGATATTGTACACACGTTTATGGCTTGAAATTAAAATTATGAGCTTTTAGCAATACGTTAGAAGGTACAATAAGGTATATAAATGGGGATAACGAATCGAGGAAAGTCATGCTAGTGTAATTTTTGACTAATTGACTGCACGGTTGGTGCGGTGGCTGGGCAACCGGCGGCCGTGCAACGTGTCGCGGGTTCGATTCCCGCACGAAACAACACTTTGTGTGATCCACAAATTGTTCTTTCGAGTCTGGGTGTCATGTGTATGTGAACTTGTATGTTTGTAAACACACCCACGACACAGGAGTTAATCCCAGTGTGAGGCAACGCTTAAAAAAAAAAATTATGCTCGGTCTTTAAAAAATTATGTAATACAATTTTTATTTATATCCATTAAATCATTTTTTGCATTGATAGCCTGAAACACAGGTTTAAATAAACCTAGTTCGGGTAGTCCCTATATATACTTAGAACGTTATTTCCTCGCATATATAATTATTGTATAAGACTAGATTAAGTAAACTATTACGATTGTTATTATTAAGACTTTTTATCACTATAAAATCTGAGCGAATTGTAAATGTGTTCTATGTTTTTTAATATTTTTTTTAATTTCTGCGAGATGTATGCAATACATACTTATTACTTGCTTATTAAGTATTATTATTTTGTTTTCAAGTTGAAACTTAAACAAGGACAATCTTAAATTTTGAGTGCAAATAACTTCAAAGTTATTCAAATAAGAGTAAATCCAATATCAATCACAATGATATTAATAGTTTGTGGAGTACACTGAAGAGTTAATTCAAACTCTTTTCAAGTC